TGGCAACTATTAATCAAAAGATCCAAATATTATAATGCCTTTGTTTTCAGAAAAAGACTGAAATTTGTGGTTTTCGTACTTTCTGAACAATGCAAAAATGGTATTAAGTCCAACTGAGACAGGTAACATTTAAGTCCAAATAAGTTATTTAAACCAGTAATAAATTGTCTCAAGTTACTTCAATATTGTGCTCCAAACAAGAGAACACCATGTTTATATAGATAACTCAGTATACAATAATTGTAAATTTACCGGAGAAAAAATATTTAAAAAATAAGTTTAAGAGTGATCAAATCAGATTGGAGAGTCATGTTTCTTGGAAAACAAGCTCTTTTTAATTCATTTGCTCTATACTATAAACTTAATTATAATACCAAAATAAGTTTTACAAAATGCTCTCAAACTCTGGTTAAAGAACAGATTACTTACAATACTGGAAATGAGACTAAAGCTGATCAAACACCTCATCATAATTCTTCACACAAACTTTTAGGCAATATAAAAATACGATTTCTAAATCATAAATGTGTTGAAATGTGTGAATTACCTTCTAAGGTAATCTTCGACACTAACCAAGATTTCCCCAAACACTTTAAAATCTGCAGTCACTATAGAAAGCATTCAAACACATTTATTTATATTCTAGATTCTTTAATGTATAGGTCTACTTTTAACACTGAAAATTATTAAATACTAACTTGATGGTTTTATCACTTTTTCAAGACATATATGATCAATTTCTAAATGAAAATAATAACAAATAATTTATTACGTACTTAAAAAACACGTAAGCAAAACCTTTTAAGCATATCCATATAATCCTAGAATGCATTCAATTTAGAATTATTTCTCTATACTTTTTCTCATGAACAATTTATCTTCAGACGACAATTTTTAAATACTACCAGTCCCAGTTTCAAAGAACAATATCTTACAAACCTGCCATTTTAAAATAAATTTATAATTTTCATTTTGTCCTAACAAAGTCCAAACATTTGAATTCAAGGACTAGTTCTTATTATTGCAGAAAATGAAAAAACTGCCATCTGCAAATGCATTAATACTGATTTATTAGAATTTGTTTAATACTGCTGGAAATTTCTGGAAAAGATAATATCTGCCTCATTTGATAGTTTGACGTGCCAGTTTTAACATTTAATTCTTGTCAATAGCAAATGGTTACACTAGTACCACTATGCTGTATGCCAGATGGTCATTTTCATTTATTTATTTTGATGTAATGAAAACAGAATATTACTAAAGGTTATTTTTATGAATACTACTAACAAAATGGCAGATTTCATAAAAATTAGCTACACATATAATATTGGAAATGAAATCACAAATTTCATTTCCCATTTGAAAAGACGGAGACATTTTTGGGGAGAAATACAGAAATCCGAGACATAAACAGCAGTTAAAGGTAAATTTCATATATTCAATGCATATGTTTCAAACATGATAATGAAATTTATTTTTTAGAATCCTTAATAACATTCACTGACAAGGAGAAGTGCAAAATATTCCTACCAAATACACATTTCAGTGCTTTGTTACAGTCACTGATGAAACATACATCCAAAGGTAGTCAAACTTTGCATCAGTAGAGTCGTATGTTTGAAACTCACAGATACTCAGGAACTACAAACATATTTTCTAATAGCCTTAACTAAAGAGTTATGCCATTTTAAAATTACTAAAAGAGTTTAAAAAGGAAGAATAATTTCAAACAAATTAAAAAGATTACAGCACTTTTTAATTAGTTTGGTTACTTATAAGCATACATAATTCTTATTCTCTTGCACTTTTAAACTTTCCCACATTGTACTAAACACCCCCCCCCAGCTAGAAAGTCAAGCATATTCGAAATATAACAATCATCTATTTTTTATAAACGTAAAGAGTATGCAGTGATATTTTTAAGAACATAAATGAGCTTTTATTCAAATGAAGAATATTGCTGTAATCTGAAAAGCACTTAAACTACAATTTGTCCACACAATAAACCCATCTGATTCCCTTTGGAATCAAAACTGCAATTCATACCTACACAAGGAAACAGAACAGTAGCTCATCTCAAAAATTGAAAAAAATCCTTATATTTTGGTTTTCACTCTCTTAAGGTCAAATATACATTTATAATAATGCAAGGAAGAAAGTTTTATTCTTCATTTATTTATTCAACACAGATTATACTAAATTAATATTTATTTGCATAAAACAAAATAAAACAACCTCTTCTGAAAATTTAAATAAATAGCTTTTTAATTTCCTTAAATCAGTACACATTTTTATTTTAACTAAAGTAAAACAATTAAATTTTTATATATGAAGGTCTTAACACCAAATACATACTTTTGATTTTATCTTAAATCTCATGAAATTAAATAAAGAAATTTTATGAGCATTTAACATAACCTATAATCCTAATCAACTGAAATAAATCCCTAATGTTACTTTTTGTTTACATTGAAATCTTTAACCTTTTAACTGTCATACCCGAGATCACTGATGTTCGAAAATGTCACGCCTGAGTATTACTCGGGGTAATTTTTTTTGAGTGCATCGTATTGTTATACCCGAATATATATCGGGAGACGTTTATTTCGGCTTCATCTCTTTGTCAAACCCGACTGTATCTCGAGAAAAGTTAATGTGCGCTCAATTCAATAGATAACAGCACTTTACTGAAGATTTTAAAGGTTAGAGGTTATAAGTTCTTTGGTTCAAAGTGCACGGGATCTTTTTGTTGTAAAATGGCATCCAGTTCTTTGAAACGTTATATAGATGATTTAGATTCTTCAATCGAAGATGAAGGATGTGTGTTTGATGAGCAGTATTCATGATAGTTCCATGGTCAGCCTCTAAAATTAAAAAAAATGAAGATATACTCAAGCCTAAGATTGTTTCTGACTACAGTCTAACTACGGGTGGTGTAGATCGCTGTGATCAGGAAATATCCTTTCATCCAACAATCTGAAAACGTCAGAAAAAATATTATAAAAAGATATTTTTACATTTACTAGACAAGGTACTCTGGAACTCTTATTTGCTCTATAAAAATGTAGTTGGGAAACGTATTACATTTTTAGAATTTCGAACCAATTTGTAGAAGAGCTTTTACATAAATATGATGATGCAGCTTCTGGACAAAAGAATGTTGGCAGACCACCTACAATAGATAACCCTGCCCGTCTTACTGAACGACATTTTATATCCCATATTCCTCCTACTCCTGCGAAACATGAGCCTACAACACAGTGTAAAGTGTGTTGTTCGAAAAAGGATAAAAACGGAAAAAAGGTAAGGAAGGAAGCATGATTCTGGTGTAGTGATTGTGGAGTTGGTTTGTGCTTGGAAAAGTGTTTCCAGTTGTACCACACAAGACTGAATTACTGAACTACTAATAGGTATTCTTTTATTTACTTATTTTTTTATTTATTTTTTTTAGAAAATAATAAATTTTTTTTTTCATTTTTAGAAAATAAAATTTTAATGTACTTCAAAATATCAATTTTTAACTACTTAAGTATATTTTATTTTGTACCAAACATTTGATTTTTGCAAATTTGACAATTTGTGTACCCAAATCATCAAAATAACTTGACAGTTAAAGGGTTAATCATCAAAATTTAAATAAGTAATATGTGCAGAAAATCACATATCCCTTTATATTGGTTTGTTGTTACAATAAATAGCAGTAATTTAAATTACTTAAGCTACAGAATAGATTTCATAATCATATTGTTTCATGTAAAAAAGCACACCAATATAAAAAAAATCACAGTGGATACATTTCCTTCATTTTTTGGCACATTCTATGCTTTTTTTCTTGTAAAACAGGCCTTACATTTATCTCTCAATGCCCATGCTATATACAATACGGAATTTTAAAAAATGTATTGCAAAGTAATGGGGCACAAAATTTAAAAGTAAACTGCTTTTAAAATTAATAATCTTTATTTAGCAATTAATATAAAGACTACGTTAAAACAACAGTTGTTGATATGTACCACTTCAATATTGCCCATATATCTGGCCAGATAATAATATAAAAATTTACTCATCAGCATTTTCACAGTAGATTTCTGATGAAAACTTCCATTTAATTGCTAATTCTTATTAACTTTATTATGAACTCTAATGGAATCAGGGTTACAAATGCAATGCAGACAATAAACAGTGAAGTTCATTATTATTAATCCAGTTACCAACATTCAGTCGCGGAATACCTGCTTACACTAAAAAATTTTCTATACTTTTTTACCATGTACTTGACTTAAAATATATCAGGAAGTAATTGTGTACCATTACATTCAATATCATGTTTTTTTAATCCTTACCTACATACTTTTCTAAAGAACAATCAGAAATCAATGAACTTCAATTTCACAAATCATAGCAACATTCATTTCCTACTCTAACAAATGTTTTCACTAGACGTCCTCTAAGATAAATTATATAAGCATTAATTTATGCAAAAATGTTGATTAATTCTACTGACAGTTTTTTTAATATAGATTTTTTTTTTTTTTTTTTTTTCTTTCTTGTTAGACTTACTGCAGCAAAGTACAGTGGGAAAACAAAAACACCTACAATCCCAGCCCGCTCACCGAGATTCAAGCCCTCTGAATCTTATCTACTCAGCCAACAGGGTGCTCTCCTTTTTTTTGGGGGGGGGGAGTGAGGAATCAATAACAGATAAATGAGATTCAGAATTATTTGTTTTACTAATACTGTTATGATTTGACATCCACAAACTCAGTACAAAAGTTAGTCAAATATTCATGTAATATGCATATTTTCTGTACTTCAATATAATTCATACCTAAACCTAGATGTTGAATTAAGGCAATGATGAAGAAATAACATTACTTACTTAAAAATCAAAATTACTGAAGTTATACCAAGAATAACTATGCTTTCTTAATAAAGCTTCCACATACAACATATAAACATATATACACAGAAACATGTTGGAATGAGAATAATGTTTTTACCATTAAACACATTGGGCACACACGAGCATTTGAATCCTTGTCTTGGCCCCAGTCATGATACCCTTGAACGTGGCCACAAATGAGGTACACATATGGCTGTTTTTCATTGGACGTTAATGTTGATTTTCGTGGTATTACTAATGTATTCAAGCCAACAGGACACTGTGGTCGACCAGCATTCAGTTCATCAATTTTCTCTTCTAAAAGATGTTTTGTCTACAATAAAAAAAAAAATGTGCTACAATTTTTTACATACGATATTAAAAAAAAGTATGAAGTCACTTAAGGTAGAAATACAAAACAAAAGATTAAATTTCTGAGGTTAATAAAAATTTAATCAAATGATCATATTTTACTACATAAATTGCTTCAAAATAATACACGAGATCACAACCATTCTCATCTAAAGCAGTTTATAGTCTACAGTCTCTCTCTACAAGATATAACAATTAAAGAATAAGCTCTAATGCAGTACTGAGACAAGCCATTACTAGCTCCTCATATCCTTGAAAGAAAAGTAAGTCATTTAGAAGTTATCACTTTAATAAAGGACCTGACACTTTGTTAGAACAATACGTAGTATTTAAGATAGATTGCATGACTTAACCTAATCTTAAATTGAAATCACAGGTCACAAATTTGTCCCAATTTTAAAAAATAAATTACAACCGTTTGAACACAGCAATTTTGATCACATCTTTTATTGATAGGATACAAAAAATTTTTAAAAAAGTAAAATTCTCGGGTAAGTTTTTTTCTTATCCCACGTTAAAGCCTTAAAGGGAAAACATCGCCTTTAGGCAACAAATGATAATCGCAGATCCTCAATTTAAAATTTTCTTGCATAAAAGATACCTTCTCAAAATAATCTGCACCTGAGGGCTTCATATATATCCATCATTTGTTTTGTAGATAATTTTCAAAAATTTTAATGATAGTTCAAGCAATATTAATCATGGTATAGGAGAGTGCTAATTCAGACATGATCGCATTTTTCTCAGACAATTTTTACTTGAAGGCCTTGCATAAAAATTCTACTTTTGTGTATTCCTACTAAGATCTCATATGATTTAAATTCTTATGACATACTTGTTTTTCTAACTGGAACCTTAAAACCGTTCATTTAAAATATATAAACAGTTGGCAAGTTTTTGAAGCATTACATGTTTTTTCAAACTTAGTTACTATTTCTGCCTACAGAAGATGCTACCTTCTGTAGATAATTTACTTCTTTTAGGTATAAATACAACTTTCCTTCATTGTAGATTTTTTGCTCTTGATAAAGAGAGACTTGTACCTCTTTGCCCTCAAAATCAATATAGTCTTGATTAACCCTCTGGGAGACCAGGGTTTTCGCTAAGAAAGCACAAATTTCCCAAAACTACTATGAAAAGAAATTATTTTTTTGATTTTAATGTAAAAACTCTACTGGTATTTCATACCTGGATTTGTTTCCTTTTGATATATTGCCTTAATTTCGTTGACATATTTTAATATGCACGTATATATACGTTCCTACAGATATCACAATATACCAAACATAAGGTCACTACTTTGCTAATTTTATGTTTTACTTTGGCATGTTTCTCTTCTGTTTTGATTACATTATTAAGTTTAATGACTTACTTTGGTATCAAAGTGTAACTATGCAAATTTTATGTTTTATTTTGACATGTTGCTCTCGTTGTGATTACATTCAAAAGTTAAATGATTTACTTTGGTATCATAAAGTATAAAGTGTTTAAAGTTATATGTGTTTTCTGAGAGTGATCCGTATTCATTAGTTCTGACTCAAAGGCTAATTTAACACATGAATTTTTTTATCATTTAATTGGTAGACTCTTAAGGAGAGAAAAACAAATCCAGGTGGCCACAGATCCTAATATGTCATAAAATATAATACTAAGGACTTGGAATTACTTTTTAAGCAGTTAATAGCCCACCTGTTTAAGGGCAGTTAAGAAGAAGAGTACTGCACTTGAAACTATTTTCTGTACCTCCTGCTAGATGAAACTGTGAAGCATCTACAAAAGTACCTTCACACACATAATTTAGACCTTCATACTGACACAAAAAATTTAATCAGTAGTACAGTGTCTTTACCTGGTCGGATTTTATGCACGAAAACCAATGGTTTATGTCTCACTCACCTTATATTCCAAAGTCTCCATTTAAGTTTTGAGTGCCATCATGTTCCATGAAGCTAAGTACAAAGGTACCCTGTACTCTCTATGGATGATTCCAGCTATAACCTGAACAGTGATTTTAGGCGTTTTATGTGGAGAAAGTGAGGAATATACAGCCTGCTTGTTCATCAAAGATATTGGTGTTATGAATCAATTTCATAAAAAACATGGGTGGCCAGTTTCACACAGAAAGAATAATTTAATGGAGCTCAAACAAATTCTCAATCAAGTTTATGTGAACTGTACAAACAGGATCCTTAAATGTCAACACTATGGTTGACTGAAATGTGTATAAAACCTTCATCTTGAACACAAGTGCACATCTTTCTGCAATCTGGGACATCTATAGAATCCTACTTTGTTTCAATCCAAAACTTCAGTGTTTCTTTCATGCTTTCCTTTAAAAAAGTAAAAATCTGTCTCAGCCTCTTTCAATAGCCCCCAAAAAAAGTTCCATTCACTCTTTTACTATTATTCTTGCTTTCTCAATTTTAACAATCACACCAGAACTTCCAATCATACAATTTTCATACACACATACCTCTCTAAAAAAAACTAATTGAATTTATGACACATTTTTTCAAGACAATCTCATGAAGAAATGAAATTACAGGAAGTCAGTTCCATGCAGAGATCAATTGATAGAGCTCCAAAAACTTAAGTACTAGAAACAGGGTTCATAAATGTCGCTTTATGACCCAATAAAAGGTATTATTAAACCTTCACCTTGCACATAATTACATAAAATCCAACAATCTGAGACAATTACAGAACTCTGTTTTATGTTTCTCTTAATAATATTCATTCTTTCCTCAAAAACTCAAAAAGGCCCCCCCTTTTATTGCTCCTATACAGGCAGCTTCCATTCTGTCTTACCATGATCAAATTTGTGCTTTCATGAATTTCAACAATCATTCCAGAACTTCCCATCATACCATTTTTGCAGACACATTTCTACACATAGCTCTCTTCTCATGGTTCATACATATTTCCGCACATGAAAATCATGAAAGAATGAGATGAAAAAAAGTTAAGAAGCTATCAGGAAATGAGAACTGAATAAATTAAAGCAATTACCTAGGTAAACTTCACTTTTGCAATACCATGCTGGAAATAAAACAGGTAAGCAGGATACATTATCATTAAACAATTTTTAATATAATTATAAAAAAATTTCAAGAATAAAATCAATTTCATAAAATTTATCGAGATTAGCCTTAAAATACAAAATTTCTTAAAACATTTATATTTTACACTTCTTTAGTCAAATACATTTTAAAGAAGATTAAGACATTTTATTTTAAATCTTACTAACAGCTTTGCATTAATTCTTTTACACTTATATGCAAGTAATTATCTGTTACATTTAATTTCATCATGTACTCACTCAGTCCAGAGGTTTATGCAGATTTTGTCAAGCAGCATAGGTTAAATCGAGAAGTAAAATCACAATCAGCATAATTTTTAACAAAACCAATGCTAGAGAGCTGCTCATTAAAACATATGAATGCCTGGTATGTGTATAAAATTAGTTGTGCTTTGTCTGTCCCACCCAGTTGGTGTTGTAGTTGCTAGACTTATAACCCAGTTAATATACTATAAAATTCTGATAAGCTGCTCAAGCAGAAGAGGTGATAAGATGTTTTGTGTTATTTTAGGTCTCACTAAGGATAATAAATAAGTTTTATGCCCCTTTTTCATTTTTGAGTTGTATCTTGCATCCACATCAAGGATTAACCCGTAACAGTGGAGGTCAAATAATGGGACAAAACCGTGGACGTGCAGTCACAGAGACTGCGTTTCATTATGATTTAAATAAAAAGTTCTAATTAAAACATTAAAATTCTATTTTACCCATACATTCTATAAACACTTACCTTCAAACAGGGGGAAAAAAAATTACAAAGAAATCCACACAAGGAACATCTTTTCTGCAATATGAACTTTTTTTTATGATAAACCACTTGCAAATGTAAATTATGCAAAACAAACCATAATAACTATTATTTTTATGAATAATGATTATTTTCCATTAATTTAACATGATAGATACATTCAGATAAAAATTATTATTGTACAAAACATAAAAAAATGACACTACCTTAATTATCTGTTCTTGCAGGAAATATCAACTTACTCAGAAATATTCTTTTGCACATTCATGAGATAATTTTTGTCCATATTCCAAACAAACTGGTGTTTTACAAACATTCACCATAAAGATACTTCATGGTTAGCTTTGAAGATGAATGTATATATAAGCAAACCTACAAAAGCTCTTAATGCTTTGATGCTTGTGTTTGCAATTTCACTTTTCAATGTATCAGAAAATTTGTGCCTATTTATTTCTATTTTCACATTTGTCCATTTCACAATAATCTCTAATATTTTGTTTGTGAAAAGGAGTTCCCAAACACTTTTAGGATCCATATTTTCACCCAATTTTTCATATGCTCCTAATCCTGGAAGATGAACTATATTATGCGGGGCAGTTCTCACATTTCATTTAGTTCAATAGATAACCACTTGGAGCCGTTTCTCCCATAATAATATTTTGTAGATGAAATGGCTTCAGTCTCTGGTTCAGTGCATTCACTGTCAGATTCAGAAAATTCTGATGTCGTAAAATGTTAACTTTCATTTGCAGAATCTTCTTGGCATTCATTTTCATTGCTAAATTCACTTCCCATGTCATCAATAATTCTTTGCAGCTCTTCTGCATAACGCGAATCAGATGGTAAGATGATATTTCTCGGACCGAGTCTGAAAGCTATGTTTCCATCTGGGAGAGAAATCATAACACTGAGAGGGAGGTGCAGTCTGACATACCTCTCTCAGACAAAGGACTAGAATTTCACAATGAAGCAGGTGCAAAAAAATGCTAGCCAATGGGTGAGGATTATCAAGGTCACAAAAGGAGATGGTAGCAGGAGAATTCACTCGATCAGACTAAATATAAAACAGGGGTGATAGGAACAACACCTGTAGCGGTATCCGAGACCGCACGTCCCCAGTTACGGGTTAAGGTCACGTGATAACTTGCCTTAACACGTAGAGGTAACTTCTAAGGGTGAGCAGTTAGTTACAAATAATTTAATTAGGTAGTTAGATAGTTTTAATCATTAGAGATTTACATGGTCACATGGTCACTATTAAAAAACTTTTATTTAAAAAAAAATGAGTTAAAAAAGCACTATTAAAGTCAAAATCTGGAACAAATTAGATAATTACATTTATAATTTATGACAATTTTTATTTTATTTTACTTGAGACCTTACGGACGGCAAAACGTTTTACGCCTTAAGACCAACAGAGATTGTACCAGAAAGCTAGTGTACTGAAATATATGATGAATCTTTTGAATTGAAAGTTTTCAAATTCTTTATCAATTACACAAAATTATACAAAAAATCCTTTCTATAGACATGACAATGTTTTCCATGTGACAAGATAAGATCATTTTCGAAATTTTTCATGCCTATGTGTAGTGAAAAGGGGAGACAATAAATGGAATATAAACAAACATGTTAAGAGAAAGACTTATGAATCAAAAGTAGAAAATTTTCAAAAGTTTCTGCAAGCCATATAAATGTACAGTAGACAATTTGAGTGATATAATCATGTATGTGAATGTCTGTATCTGTATAAAAACACAGATACATTAAAATGGCTCGAATAAACATAAAGGCAGGTACAAGGACCTAAATAAGCATATTTTTTAATCAAATGTGCATGTAGAAAGACTGCATTTAGAGTGATAATGATAACTGAGATTGGTAGGTGAAAGAGGTCTACTAGCACATATACTGAAAGAGGTCCACTACTAGTGCATATACTTACTCCACATGAAAATTTTAAAGAGGTATGCATTGTTAGTTTGGTTTACTTGTTTATGGCAAAGCATGCGAGGGCATCCGCCTAAAGGAAAGGATTCTTTGTGGAAACCTTTCTGTGGGATACTGGCTCATATCCACAAGACACATCAGGAAAAACATGAAAACATTCATGCAGGCAGCCTATTCACCTGAAATAAAACCCAGATCAAACTACAAGTGATCAGCAACTTTACCACTCGGTCACCAGTCGGCCACGAAGCGAACAAGCTCATTAATATGCCTTTATATATGGAGATTCAGACAAAGATAAAACAACTGCTCAAAAGATGTGCCAAAAATAAAAAAAAGCTCCCAAGTGGACAGCTGGCAAACATTCGATCATATTATCTGGGAGCTGAATAAGAGTGGATCATTCTGTACTTGAGGGCATGATGCAGGAAGAGGAAGATATTGCCAAATTCCTGCAGTAGAAGAAACTAATACATATATACATTTGAGAATAATTCTGCTAGAGCAGGGGTTCTCACTCTTTTATGCCTCCACACACACATTTCACCGTTGGCAAAAGGTCATTCCTTCTCTTTTCCAAAACTTGAAGAACAAACATATACATTTTTTCTAGATTTGGATGATTTTTGACATTTTATTAATTAACCAAAAATAGTAGAAAATACTGATAAATATCAAAACTTGAATAAAAGTAGTTTTTATATTCATAAACTAAAACTAAATACTCAGCTAAATAAAAGGCTCACCACATTCACCCTGAAACTATGAAAATCTTCCCAGAGGAATCAAATTTGTTAAAGGCATGTGTGTGTGTGTGATTATGGCAAAGCCTCAAGGGCTATCTGCCTAAGGGGAGGGATGCCTTCATGGAGGACTTTCTAAGGGAAACTGGCTCGTATACATGTTACACATGGGGAAAACCACGAAAACGCCCATGCAGCCAGCCTGTTCGCGGGATTCGAACCTCGAACCGAACTAACAGTGTTCAACTTTACCGCTCGGCCGCTGGTGGACGTTAAAGGCATATGAAAGATATTTTAATAACATATTAAAATTCAAGATAATAAATAGAGATTTGGACACTGATTCATATGAGAGTTATATAACCATATAATCACTTATTCTCCATGAAGATTTGCATCTCTCCATGTATCCAAACAGAAAATATTTTTAAAAAAAATTAACTCCATCAAACAGATTAGACAAGGAGGAACATCTTTTACTAACAATGAATTCATTTTAACATATTAATTTTCAATATATAATACAATTAAATACATGCATTGAATAAAACATTTTTTTTAAAAGCTTTGGTATTTAAGAACACAATACCGTATGTGGTTACTAAGGTCGTCTTACAAGATAGGCATACACATTAAATTAATACTGTAGGAAAAAAGTGTTTTAAAAATCTTATGTTGCCTTTTTTGTTCATAATCTTAATTTACCATACATGTATAATAAAACAATCCAAAATGACTGGAACATGGATAAAAAAGAGAGCAAAAAGTTACTCAGGTCTGCTGTCTTAGAACATTCATACTTTTACTCAGTTTATTTCTAATATCAATAATATTTTATTGTAAATATTTAAGAAAAATACTTGAGAACTTAAAAAGAACTCAGAAAAATATGCATGAAAAATGCCTCAACAATATGTATCCTTAGCTTTCACCTTTAATACTGGTACTTTTATATTATATCCAATATTTAAAAACACATTAATCAAAATTGCTCAGATTATTTTACACTTACAGGAGATTTGCTTAAACCTTCTGCTGTGCGATACAACAAAGTTGCTCCACAAAGATCAATCAAAGTGCCATCCTGCAGAACATTTGTTTCATCTTCAATCTTTATTCCTTTCTGAGGTGCTGACCGACTTTCTCTCAAAGCATATACTCCACCGCCAACTGAAACTTCTCTCCATATCCCTGGTTCAGATCCTTGACTAAATGGACCTCGAGGATGCATGATAAGAATTCCATTAGTAGTTAATCCATCAATCTCTCCATTTTGTTGCCATTTGGTTGCTTTTTCCTTTAAAATAAAAATGTTTCTAATGATTTGAATATTATATTAATTTTTTGCAACAAATAATATGTAACTAAAATGAAACATTTTTTACTAAATATTGGCAAAGTGCACCAAGAGTATTAAATAATGAAGAATATGGAGTGACAGAAGAATTTTTATAGATAACTGCCCCATATTTAGACACCACCTGAGTATGTTCAACAGTTGAGAATCGACTCCAAGATGAACTCTTAGCATTTTATGGTTCTAATGACTTAGTCACTGTTCAGCCAACTCAGAAATAATACACATCAGTATGTACAGTGGGTGCCAGTTAATAAAAAACACTGCTTTGTGAAATCCACCGTTTATTAAAATTAAAACCCAAAGAATGAATTCAAATGAATACAATATCATTATAAAATAACTGCTTAATAAAATACTCAACCACTTATAAAAATCAAATTGCTCTTAAAACTGTAAAGTCAAAATCCAAAGTTTGTGCTTCAAGATTAGTGATTTTGTTCAATGTCGATTTGCTTTCGGACATGGAGGTGCAAATGCTACAGCTTTGTTATATGGAGCTGTGAAAAACCACAAAGTCTGTGTTTCAATCAATGATTTCATTCAAGGTCAATTTATTTTTACACGGAACTGAAAATGCTTGAATTTTCTTATCTAAACTAATCATGGGTCAGGGTGGGTTCATAACAAGCTTGTCAGAACTGGCTCAGACCAATTGGGGGAAAAGAGGAAACACACAAAAAAGACATAAGACAGAATCTGTAATAAAATTTTCTTTTTTTGCTCACACAGTTCCTCCATCCACATTGCGCTTTTGTTTGGTCATGCCTCCTGATCTCCAAATGCAAGGACTTAAGCTTAAAAGATAAAAAAGAATTGCTGAAGCAATATGATGTTTTACCAAAATGCAGCCAACATGAAACTTCTGCACAACTCGGAATTTCACAATCTGCATTATGTACATTACTGAAAAGAAGGGAGGCAATTTTGGATGAACTGATGACAAGTGCAAATGTGACAAGCAAAAGTGAAGAAAGTCTATCAATGTCAAAACTATCCTCTTAGGAGTGGTTTCAAAATGCCACGAATAAGAACGCAACTATGTCACGAGAAATCCTGTATCAAAAGGTAATAAAATTTGCCAAAATGCTAGGAGAGAAATTTGTCCTTATCGTTGGATGGTTCACAAGATGGAAAGAAAGAAACAATATAGTTTTCATAAAATTACATGGAGAAAAACAAGATGCAGACTCTAATGAAGCCGGTAATTGGATAGAAAAGAATTTAGCCAAAATTTTGCAAGAATACAAGCTGCATCAAGTTTTTAACACTGATAAGACTGGTCTTCATTATCAAGCGCTACCACATCAGCACACTTAAAAGTTTGAAAGTGAGTCGTCAGCTGGCTGTAAAAAAAATTAACCCTGTTGCTGTGTTATTATCGTGTAATATAGACAGAACAATTAAAAAGACTCCATTACTCATCACAACAAGTTAAAACCCTCATTGTCTTAAGAGCTTCAAGCATTTGCCCGTGACTTATTACAACAATAAAAATGCTTGGATGGCAAGCAATATTTTTAGTGATTTTCTTATAAAGTGGGATAAGAACTTCAGCAAGCAAACCCTTGTTAGGTAACTGTGCTGCACATCCAACTCATCTCTTGCGGAAGAACATAAAATTAGATTTCCTTCCTCCTAATACAACTTCCATTCTTTAGCCATTAGATCAGGAAAAAGCATTCAGAAGTCATTACAGGAAGGAAGTGGTTCAACATGTTATTGCTGAAATTGATAGAACTGATATAGTTTGTCCTGCTAAGGAAACCGTTAAGTTCATTTCTCTCTTAAGATGCCATACATGTTATTTTAAATGCATAGGATGAAGTAACTTCAGAAACGATTTCAAATTATTTTTAAAAAGCTGGCTTCCATTGTAAGCAAATTTCTGGAAACTTTCAAGATGTGCATGAAGACAAGGGTGACTATGAGGAAATGCACGAGACCTTCCCTGAATATTTGCGAATCTATGAAAATATCCAGATTTATTATAAAAAGAGTGATGCAGAGATCATCAAAAATTATCAGAGAAAACAAAGGGATGAAATGTGAAAATGAAAGTGAGTCTGAAGATGGAAATCCCGATCCTGTAAAAACAGCAGCAGTCTCGACAAGCATTAAAAATTTTGAGAACACTACTAATTTTTAAAGGTGGAGATACAGAATGCTACAAGTAATGCTGTGTCTTAGAGACCACCATTGAAGATACTAACAAGAAATATCCAAGAGACTTGAATGAATAAATTTAAGCTGCTAGTTATATCTGCTTAATCTGAAGCAGTTCTAAATTAGATAAGCTTTTCCTATAACATGTTTCTTCATCCACATGTTTACTTGTTCAGTGAGAATGACTTCAAGAATTTTTGTACCTAAATTTAGTCAAAATAAAGTCCCCCCTTTCATAATGCAGAAAAAATACTTTCACAGCAAGCATTTTGATGAGGTTTTTTTTGGGGGGGGGCATGGCAGAATCCTGAAACACTTAGTGTAAAACCTGCTTCAAATGGCCCAGAAACTGAAATTGGAAGGTTGTCTTCAATTAAGAATTGAATAAAATAGCATTTGGCTTTTATACTATCCATTTCACCATCCTTTAGGAAGAAATTTGACATTTCTTTCAATTGTTAAGCACCTTTTGTTATACCTTTGAGAAAATACATCAGGGGTGTTTGTGGGACCCCAAAAAATCCCCTGAAACTTTTACGGACTTACTACCGACATTTTGGAGTTTCGAGAAGGGGGGGAGAGAAATGAAAAATTACAATTATGAAGTATTGAATGACCTAATTATAAAAGTTCAATGAATTACTTTTTTTTGCAAAATTAATAACCATAAATTTTCAAAAATATAAACTACTACATTTTATGTAAATATTTTAAATTACCTGAATTAATTCTTTAAAAAAATTATCTAATTTCTGCTGCTTTTTTTTAATTTTCTGATGTTTGTAGGCTTGTCTTTTCTTTTGTGGTGAACTTTCATAAATTGCAGGAAGGTTGACTTTTATTTTCCTCATTTAGTTGAAGAAATTTCCTCGAGAACTGCACATGCAGAGGTAGAGAAGCAGTTTGCTTTTCTGCTAATTGTAGAAGGTTTTTCAGAGACTTTTTATAGGTGACTCATCTGAAATACATGTTTTTAAGTCCTCTTGATATGTTTTCCAACTTCTGTTCATGTTCAGTAAGAGATCTTTGTGAATTGGATCAGTCATTGGATTTTTTTAGCCATATTTTTCACATGAGGTTTTTTTAGAAGCCATTAAATCATATTTAATAGTCTGCACTGCATCTAGGGAATCAATCTTAAGGGAGGTTCTATAGTCAGTGACAAGTATATCCATTAAGTTGAATGCACTTTCCACTAATGGGTCATGGAAGCAGCTAAGGCAAGCTTTGACCAATTTAGCCAATGTAGGATACTTATAATCATTTGTGAAATCATCTTTGAAATTAAAAACTTTAGACCAATATTTATCAATTGTATACTTGACTTGATTTCCACTTTCATCAGATGTGTAGAGCATTTCTTTGGTGATATCAATATCACTCTGGTATAACCTTATTTCAGCATCTACTTTTGACTTTTCATTATCACTAAAAATATGGGACATAAAAGATGATAATTTTTCAAAAGCTAATATTGTACTGGTTTTACCTCTTAGCTCTGGATCTAATGCTGTAAAACTAATTAGATATGAATTTTTAAGGGGTAATTTGTTTCACATGCTGTATTAGTATAAGCTTTCATCAGAGAAATTTGGAATTCTTTTGCTATTGGATGATTTTTTGATAATTTCTTCAGGAGAGTGGAAGCTTCTGCACCAGTAAATATTACTTTGCTAAGTAGATGGAATTCTGGATTTGTGACATCAACCTTTAATAAACCATTATAAGATGTGCACTCTATATTTTCTGGTTTCATAAAAAAAAGAGAAAATTTTTGCCATCAATTTATAAATACTGGAATGTATTAAATGAAGCATTGGTTTTTTTTTTTTTTTTTTTTTGTTTCAAACAATTTAATATATGTGTTGAACTCCGGTAACACTGCTGAATATAATGCCATACGCAATAAAGTTTTGTTTTGCATAACAAATAACCTATTTAGCATTCTTTTTTCCTGAGCTAAAGCATCCTTTGTGAGTTGTTGGGAATGCAAGCAAGAATACACCCCTTCAACAATTTTTTCTGAGCTGCAGAAATATTTCTTTTATTGTATACAGTTTCAACATAAGAAAAATAATCCCCTTTATCAGTTTTATCCAAGTAGTGAAAATAAAATGCAATAAGAGCCCACAGATCCTTTGATTCTTTCTAAAACACATAAAATGTACACCCACCTATGGTCTGGTCTCTTCAAGGGCTTAAGTTTTTTAATGGCAAGGGATTCACAGATTTTGAAAAAAATTTCTCTTTTACTGCAGTTTTTCATATCAAAATAGATGTCATCAAACAAATCTTCTAAGTATCTATCAAAACATGAAGCAAATTTTTTGCACAGTTATTAGCTGTGTGACATGTGTCACCATCAATATCTAATAAGTGAAGTGCTTTGTTTGATCACAGTCTGGTTTCAACACCCTTTTCTTTTCCAAGCATGGTGTTACATGAGTCCATTAATACACTAATTAAGTTTGCCCATGGAATATTATTATCTTCAATAGTATTAACAACTGCTTTAAAAACAGCTTCTGAATTGCAAGATTCCATCTTTAGAGATGCAAAATGATGAACTACAACTTCATTTTGATTGTTGTCATAAAACTGCAATATTGCCAGTATACTTTCTTGAGCATTGCTAGTACTTTCATCCAAATTTAGAGAAAATGGAGTCTCCTTTAAAGTTTTAATGATATTTTCCTTAATAGTTTTTGCGAGTCCATATTTCATCTTATAACATGCAGTAGTCCTGGACATTTCCAACGAGTTTAGTGCCGTCT